CTTTTTTTTGTTGGATATCGTCTTATCATCTGCAAGTCTTCATATTTCCCCCTCTGAGGGGACAAGGGGTGTGCCTTATTTTATCTGCTAGTGAAAAGTTTTGGTGGCAATATTCTTTTACTACCTGTGTCCCATTTAATATGAGGTACTTTGACTCGGCAAAGAGTTGAAGAAAAAAAAGGAAGACTTTTAAAACTTGTGGTCTAAAATGAATGATAGAAATTTATGTGGCTATAAATAATTTCATTTAGGGTAAAATATACATTTTAAAGTTACATTGTTACTTAATATAGAAATGTGGCCAGGATGGGGATCTTTACTTAGATGATCAGATGCATCTGTTGGATGCTACTTTGTTTCTGTTGAGCATATTGCTGAAATATTTCTATATACTTTGTAAATGGAGCTCCCACCCTCCATTCCATAATAAGCAATTTACTTATTAGAAAAGATTGAGTGGAAGACATTTTTATATAAACTGTTAGCAGTTTTCTTGTAATGATGGTGTTGTTAGTCCCCTACTATCTGAGGATGTATTTCAAATTTCAACTGTGCATTGCTTTGCACGGAAGAGGAATTTAATCCTTTGGTTCTGTGCCCTCTTCCTTCTCATTTCTCACTTGGGTCAGAATTGAAAGAAAATCTTTATTTTTCTCTCTTTTATCAGTTCTTTTGACAGTAAAGGGTCTCTTCATGTTATGACTAACGGTACTTTTGTTCTGTTATCAGGTGTACTTTGAGATTCGACATCATGCACCTCATGTAAAAAAGATCATTGATGATCAGTGTTCTCGATTGTGCAAAGCACAGCAAAAGATTTTGGAAGTTGAAAGGAAACAGGAAAAGATCGAGGATCGTGTTGAGCATGCAGTTCGGTTTCACAGTGAGCTAGAAGAGCGCTTGCAAAGCCTGAGACACCTGCCGGCAGCACATAAGACATCTCTATCTAAAGCTGAACGAGAGTTTAAGTCTGAACTTGGTAATATGCTCATCGAATGCCAATGCTTAATATAGCTTTATTTTTGGTTTGTTGTGAACGCTAGCTCATCATGGTGTAGAAACTGATACAATGCACACACATATGTCTAGTCTTTTGCATTTGGCCGACAGACTATTTCTACCACCTCTCTGGATGCTCTAGAAGTCAACCCCTAATGGATACTGGCCTTTAAGCCCTAACAATGGCCAATGAGTTATTTGTCGGGCTTAATTCATAATGAATGGATTAATTCATAATGTCTCTGATAGTTCCACCAAATTTCTTGTTTACACACCTTACGAGGGGCTTCAGGGTGGGGGTTCCCTTTACCCACCTTAATTTGAAAATTCCCTGGCTAATACCCAATGATTTGGAAACATGGGAGACGTAGGTTTCCAACTCTTTGATTGTTTTTAGAGCCTCAAATTTTAAAAATAAACTGAGGCAGAATCAACTATTCAGATCAATTCAAATGATCCAACAGTCTTATCATTTTTATTCTATGATTTTTTTCATTCTCCTTTTTTGAGTTTTTTCTTTCCCAGCACCTCCTCCTTCTCCACCTCCATCAAAACCACCACCGCCACTGGAAACACCCTTTGTTCTCCACCACTGCACTGCTTTCAAGACCTCAGCAATCCCACCTCAAACCAGTCTAGTGGAGTTGCTGGGGTCAGAGATGTTTGGCGGCATTTATGGTGGTGATGTCTTTTTTCTTGTGGGTCGAGCTGATGCCAGATTGGTGGGTTGAGAGAAAATGTGAGTTGAGTGAGAGAAGAGAACATTGAGTTTGTGGGAGATGAGGGTGGATTAAGGGGGGGGGGGGGTTAAAGTTGAGAATCGGTGGTCGTGTGAGGAGCTGTATAGATTTTTTGAATGGCTGAATGGGATATTTTGCTAGAATCGAGGGTGTACAGACAGATTGGGACTGGTGTTTTCTTTTTCTTGTGGGTGAGGTCTGAAAGGAAGCTGAGTGTTCCTATGTTGAAACAAATGGAGCGGGCGGTCCGTAATGATGGTCAAATAGTTTCTCACTGTATGAGTGGCGTGTAATACTTATCCTGAGAATAATTTTGTTTATTAGGATAGGAAAAGGAATCTGAGTTCTTTTTTGGTGTAAACAGGAACTAGGTGTAAGCTTGGTTGGAAAAGTATGTATTTTTGTTCTAGCTTTAACCTTTGAGTATGGAACTGAACATTATGTTTCTACGTCATGCAGACAGATTTAGGGGAGTGGAGTTGGATGCTCTACGCTCTTCTATTGAAGCAGTAAATGCCAGGTTGAAAAGATACACACATTCTCTACAGCCCAGCCAGTCAAATGAAGAGCGACAAGTATCAGTGAGGAGAAAAGTGCGTGTCCAAGAAAATGAAATGTCACTGCTGAAAGCATCACTTGAAAAGCTGTCAGTCATGAACAGTGAAAATGCAAAGAAGGTTAAAGTAGTTGAATCGGCGCTGAAAGGCCGTGAAATAGGCACTTGATGATATGTAGGATTGTATGATGATTTTTGTTTGTGATGCACAAGTCAAAAGTTGTTGGTTAGTGTGTTGATACCCAGCTTGATTGCCTGTGTGACTAGTAAGTGTGTTAGGTACAAGATGGGATACTTTGAGGTGATATGAGCATTGGAAGTAGCTTTAGGCTTTTTATTAATTTCCTCAACAGATTATACTGGCCATTCGTTTTTCATCTGAAAGCTAAGCACAGCGTTTTAGGTTGATTTTATCACGCGACTCATACATTTTATACAGTTTTGGAAAATTTTAACTACAAAAACCTCAATGAACTAGTCTTAAATCATCAACCACACTAAAACCAAGTTTTGTAAAAAAAATAATTAAAAAGGGTAATATTTGTCCTTGTATTCTTAGAAAATGATTATATATATTTTTTTTTACACTTTTTTTTATTTTGATATATTTGCCTTTGTCATTAGGCACAAACTAGTGAATTTGTCAAAAAGATAATAACATAACAATTTTTTAACTTAGGTATTACCATCTCTTTCTCCCCATCTCTAACAATTTTTTAACTTAGGTATTACCATCTCTTTCTCCCCATCTCTCTCTATGAGAACTTTTAGCAAAATTATCAGTTAAATATATTGAACCAACACAAGGAACAGATTTATGACAATTAGAACCTCATATAAAATATAAAATAAAGAGGAAATTTAGAAAGAACATAGGAAAAAAGATAATAATGCTACATCATTTTTGGATCATAATCATTAAAAATAAAAGAAAAAATATATGAAATCAATGAACAATCTCTCGAGCTCTTGTTGACTCCACTCTCATAAAATAATCACAATTTAATAGCCTTTATCTTCTTCTTCAAGTCAACCAAAATATGAATATAATAAGCACCGAATACATAATAACTTAAAAGGTGATATACTCATTCATGTCTCTATTGTTTTTATAGGACTACAATATGAACATGAACATAACTATTAATTATTTTAGGGGGTTAGGATGATAAAAAGTTGTGGAAATAATAAAAATAAAAATCATTAAATTATACGTGAAATTTGAAGAAATGACTTTTTAATTCTTAAAATTGCATATTGAATATAATTAAGAGGGTTAAATGAGTGGTATTTACTTCCTTTTAATATAGCACATAATCGAGAAAAAATGAAGGAAGTTAAGTATACAATGTAAAAACATAAATTACTTCTATATAATAATAGTTTGACTTTTCACCAACATAACAATAAATTTTACCAAAAAAAAAATTAAAATAAAAAATTCGGATATATTTTGAACCTTTTTTCCTAAAACATATCATACTTAAAAACAAAAAAATCACCAGTTGTTGTACCAGATCAGCCACAAAGTATATTCCTTAATACATATCACTATTTAAAATAACATAATATCAGCAATTGTATCAAATCTTTCATGACCCATGAATACACCCTGGATGTAACATGACATATGAGATCCGAAGAGACCTCACTTACTCCACTTAGATTTCATATCATAAACTAGATTATGGACTCAGTCCATTAGCCACCAACTAAAATTAATTATTTTTAAATAACCCGTCAACTAAACAATCGTAATCAACAAATAGCTTCAAAATTTTGAAATATAATTTCTCGGGTCATTGCATTGATTTCTTATTATGTCTAAAGAGAATAGATGAAGAAATATGATAAATTACATAACTTGCGAAAAAAGAAGTGGGCTAATTGTGTCTATATTAATATTCTAGAAAGATTGCAATAACATACGAATTATTTGTACCTATGAAAAGATAATCAAAATAATATACTAATTATGGAAAGCAAGAGAGCAGTATGCTCGGTCCTTTTAACAAACTTCACCATTGTTTTCGTATTAGTTATCAGATATTTATTTTTGTGTGCTATCAAATATAGCACAACACACAAGCAATTTTTCCAAAAACTATATGAAAAAACTTGTAGAAAGGGACAAAAGATAAGATAAATTTTCAATCATCCTCACTTGAATATTTAGCATAGTTAAAAAAAAGTCACAAAAATAGCAAATAGAAATTGCAATAGATGCATGAATCACTATGATTTACAGTCAACAATTAAGCTCCATGAAATATGAGGAGTGAAACACACTTCACAATAAGTATAATTAATGTATTTGAATTTGACTAAACAAAAACCTACAGATAATAGTGGCAGAACTGAAAGTTTTGTTTACTAAAATAACCAAATGTAATGAATTCAATCATTTCAACAACGTTATGAGTTGTAAAATGAGAGGTGCAAGAGTAGTATTGTCGCATTGCAATCAAAATAACTTTTCTTTGATTTTACGAAGAAACATGTAGAAAAGGATAAAAGAGAAGATCAATTTTCAATTATCTTTACAGAAACTTTTAAAAGAGTTAAAAAAGTCACCAATATAGCAAAAAGAAATATCATAATTACATGAATCACTATGACTTATAGTAAAGATTAAGTCCCCATCAAATAGAATGATGAAAACTTTAAGGAATGAAGCAAACTTCATATAAAGATTAATTAATGTATTTGAATTCGACTACCCTACAACGGGAAAAAAAGACAAATAAAAGTGGCATGAAATATCCCTATTTATAGAAAACAAAGGGTATGTACATAAATGCTTATTTTCCTTATCAGAAAGTTCACAACTCTTTGAAAAAGTTACAATCCTTCAACAAGGTAACAACCTTTCATAAAAGTCACAATTTTTCATAAAAGTCTCAACTCTTCATAAAAATCAGAATTTTTTTAAAGAGTATAGCTTTTTAAAAAAGTACAACTTTTGATTTAAAAGTCGCAACTCTTTATAAAAGTCATAACTTTTCATGAAAAGGAAAAGCTAGTTTTGAAAATAAATAAATTAAAAGGGAATTCTGGTTTGCGAAAGTAGAAGAAGGAGATCAGAATTTTTGTTGTTTTAAAATAGGAGGAAATCTCTCTATTTATAGACAACAATGGTAGTGTGAACAAATGTTTATTGTGTCTTATCATAAAGGTTACAACTATTTGGAAAAGTTGCAACCCTTCAAAATGTTCAGAACCTTACATAAAAGTCACAACTTTTCATAAAGTCACACTCTTCATTAAAGTTATAAATTTGTTTAAAAATCAACTTTTGATAATACTTTTCATTAAAGTAGCAAATTTTCAATAAAGTCACATCATTTCATGAAAGAAGAAGGCTAGTTTTGGAAATAAACAAATTTAAAAGTAAATTCTTGCTTGTGGTGATGCCACGTAGGCGTATCTAGGGTTCTCTTTTATATAAGTATATGATAATAGAAATGAGCGGAAATTTAAAACATTTTTAACAACATCAAAATTTCATAACAAAAGCACAAGTATATTATATTTGGTCTTAAGACCATCAAAACCATCTAAAACATGAATACCTCGGGACACAACCCATACAACAATGTTTAAAATATAATATGAAAGATCAAAAGGAAATGACGGCTATATCCTCGGATGCTATGAGGACTCACAAATCTTCAAGTCTTGTCTCTACTAAGATCCTAACCACGGGGATGAGATTCGACATCGTCAGGCCCTACATTTGAATAAGAAATATAGGTAAGAGTATACTTTAGTACAAACATGTGCTCAATATGATAGCTTGCATTAACATCAACATAAGCATAAGAGCTAAATAACGTCAATTGTAAGCCATGATCAATACAAGTGAATACCATCTCAAGACATACTTATGATACCTTTTGAAGTAACCTTGCTTCATCATAACTGTCACGATCGGGGAGCACCGTAGAAGTAACATGACGTACTTGACCTTTCGGAGGTCTTATACAAGCCATAGTAATCATTAATCGCATTGTCATGGTAAATTTAGCTGAAAATTTAAAACTTTCATAGCACATCATATGCTAGAACATCACTTCCATTATGTATATAAAACATAAGTCATAATACATAGTTAAACTCTAAGTCTCTTTGCCATCTAAGACTCAACATCATTAGAGTATATTAGGAACACGGCCCCTACAACATAAAATAATAACTAAACTTTTACATGACACTGAATAAACATAACATAGGAAATCCTTGGACTTAAGGTCCCTTTCCTTGAGCTTGAGAAACACATATCAAGCCCTTCACCTTAGAAACTACAATGACCCAAAAAAAACCCCTAGAAGAAGGGAGCACCCTTAGGTCGGAACAATTGCGTACTTAACCTTTCGGAGATCTTGTACTAGCCTTAGCTATCATTCATTACATAAGGCATGAAAAGTAGAGCGGAATTAAAAATTTTCACAAATAAATAAATATAAAGGAAACATCTTTCATAAAAGCTAATGAGTGATCTCGTTTAACAAGCCAACTTAAATACACGACATAAATATCTTAGGGACACGGTCCTTTACATTAAATGAAAATACATAATAAGTCTTAATGACCGAAACTAAGAAATAGAACTATGCCCTCGAATATATGAGGACATACTGAGTATTGAGAGAGTCAATTTCTCAAGCTTTGCCTTCTAGTCTTCAACTTGTTTCCAACCTATACTTACTAAGTATAGAAAAGTATGGGGTTAGTACAAGTTAATGTACTAACTATGACATATGAAAAAACATGCAAAAAGGAACATTTTAGTAAAATAAGCTTTCATGCCAAACAAGTAAAACCTTCATAATTTTAGAGTTAAAATAATATAAGAATCATCATTAATCACATAAAATAGAACTCTCATACTTTTAGAACCAAAAGATCACTTTACAGTAAACTCAAACAACTTTACAATGAAACATTAGAGTGAACAATTCATCCCAAGGATAGTGAACTGATTTTCTTTGAGGTTTTCCTAACCAAAATATCCTAAGAGTCACTAAGGTAAGACATGAAGGTACCACCCATACACCCCCTTCAATACACACCAAAGTGATCTTTAAGACTACCAACCATAGGCTTACCTCGCACGGGAAAACAAGTCCATACACTTGGCAAGACATTTGAAGGACAATCATACATTATGGACTTCATGTAAGTACCCTTCTCCAATAGGACTTATAAGTTACACTAAGCGCAATGTGAGAGTAACATCCCATACTATTACTTTCACTTAGTGATCATTGAGGATTCCTTTGGATTAAGCACTCTACATTAGTCATTCATAACTTCATTACATAAAACTTAACTTTAACTTGCTTCTTTAATATTAGACCTTAATTCATCTAACTTCAGTACAACACATGATAACTCATTCATATACTTCATA